TCTAAAGAAAAACAAGTTTGACAATTCTTTGTATAGTTCTTTTAAAAATTATATAAAATAATCAGAATTGTAAGTTCTATTATAATTTTCCTCATTAATATTTTCAACTTTGTTAAAAATTATTCAGTTTGCATTAAATTCATAGATAAAGATTCCCTATTATACATGTTTTAAGTATAAACAAAATATTAAGTTGAAGCAATTCAGGGGTTCAAATTAGTGTGGGTCCGAGGTCCGGGACCTGTCTTTTCTAGGAGAGGACTTTTCATTTAAATTACAAAAGTCAAGGACCTACCATTCTTTACACTGATGCTTGATACACGACCATTGATTTTTTATGGAGGACCCTTCACTTAAAATTTCAAATGGTCCTGGACCTTTCATTATTTTAAGCAAATTTGAACCCCTAAAGCAAGAAGAAACAACATTTTGCATTGTGAAAAATAGGAATCTTATTTTTTTCTTCTCACAGCAATCCTACATTCCAGTTTTGTCTTTTGCTCATTTAGGTTCCCTCTGTGGTCAAATATTTTGTTAAGACATTAAAACTTTGTCAAACATTTGTGAACTTTTACCAAACTTGAACAGGAGCTTTTTCATGATCAAGAAATAGCCTCTGATGTGTGTCCACAAAACAACATTTTTTCATCAATCCATGGTATTTGGTACCTATGGAAAGAGATAAATTCACAGTACACCGTAACTCTCTAAGACGTCTGGAGGTGACCCACTGTGGATTCATTATTATTCATGGGATATTATTTTTGGTGGATTTCGTTGTTAACCGTGAACCACAAATTTAAATGTCCAACAAAGTATGAATTTTTCGTAGACTTGTATGCAGACTTTTGTAAAACCATATAATCAAATATCCATGAAAATACAAATTTCCCTCAATCCACGAAAATAAATGAATCCACAGTTTTGCAACACTAATTAGCTCGAGACACTTATGATTTCCCACCCTTTATTATTATCCATTGATCCTCTTGCAGAACTAACTTAATTGAATTAGTGGTAAACATTTTTTTTGGTCCTGAATATGCATAAAAAATTTGCCATTGGAAGTTAGGCAGACTGCCATTAATCAATTGTTTTTATTTATGCAATGTAAGTCATTAGAAAATTTTTGTATACATTTATTTTAAAACTTTGTTCTATGATGGAAAAATTTCAAAAGTTTTCCTGCGTAAAGAATTAAGGATAGGTCTGTTGTTAAACTTTATCTGTCCTAGTCTTATCTCAAGTCTATACTTTGACTGAACCTTTGAAATTTTAGCACAATTTTCTGACAGAAATCGAGGAGATCATACAAGTGTTAGGACCTTGGCTTTTACAATAAAATGCCTTTCGGCACGTTCCAGTTCTGCTTATAGTTTTGACACTCTCAAATCATTAAGACAGAAGGTTGAATGTCTTGTTTAAGCTGCGATCCATTCTTAAAAAGTATTAAACAGCAGACGACATACAAAAAGCTTAATTGGGTTATGTTACTTTATGATTCAAAAATTACTTGATCCTTTACTATAATTCGGATTAAAGATCATGACCAGAAGCCACAGTGTTTCTTATCAAAGTTTAACAACCTTGTAATCACATTAAAGGATAAGCATTGGTAATTTTCTCTGTGTGTAGGCATTCAACCACATATTACTTGTGTATTATTATTTATTTAGAGTAGAGCTTAGTAATATAACAAAACAAAGTCAGTGTCCTCACAAAAAATTAAATAAGGCCGCATAAGATAGATAAGCTTTCAGATTCTGTTTCCTGCTTTTCAAAAATATTTAAATGCGGGGGCAGTTTAAAAAAAAAGATTTAAGATTTTTCTTAATTTTCAAAAAAATTAGGAAAATGTGTGATCAAATATGAAAGTGGGGAAAAAGTCAGGAAAAGGATGGGATGAGAATCAGAAAAACTGTTTCATGTGGCCTTAACAATTGAAGTGCAGTATGACTATCATCATTTTCATTACAATAAGATATTAGTGGATTATAAATGGTTGTCAATGAGGTGGAAGTATTTTTTCATAATAGAAAAAATTGGTATTTTTTCCAGTTCACAAGAACCCTGATAGGATAAACAAGACATTACCATATTATTTCTTTTATACTGTCACACAACTTGTTATGATAATGTATTTGAGGGAGATTGACAGCTTTAAGCCAAAAGTATGTTAAACTGACCTTATTGGTACATTTCATGCTTCATTGACTAACGTTAGCTAGGTTTTAGGGCTGAGTTGAGTTCAAAGATATTGTATGTCCAATCTACAGTTATGTAAATTGGAATTCATTCAGGAAACGGGTAGAAATGCCTGACAGTGCAAATTCAAAATGACAAATCACCGGAGTTCATAATATCCCCTCTTTGAATCGGGGAGTTCAAAGTGATGGGATATTTGATGGTTCATTCATCCATCCATTTGTTTGTCGTTCCACTCTACTTTGTAACCACTTTTCCTCCTAAACCCTTAACCAGAATTTAGTGAAAAAAACTTTCTCAGAATCTTCACCATACAATTGTATAATGGGATTGTGCACCTTCTACTGTGGATTCATTTATTTTCGTGGGTACCAATTTTCGTGGATAAAGGAAAACTTTCATATTCGTGGATATTCAATTTCGTGGTTTTACCAAAGTCTGCATACAAGCCTATTAAAAATTTGACATTCGTTGAACATTTAATTTCGTGGTTCACCAGTACCAACGAAATCCACGAAAATTGGTATCCCACGAATAATAATGAATCCACAGTATTTTGCTTTTTGATCTAAATTATTTTGGGGTTTCCCTGAGCAATTCATGGAATTTTCTATTGCTTTATCTGAGATGTACCTATTTTGAAATTGAAACTCCTGAACCTCATATTACAATTTTGAATTTGAAACTCCTCCTGAACTTCATATTAGAATTTTGAATTTGAAACCCCTCCTGAACCTCATATTACAATTTATTGAAATTTTCTCAATATCATGACCATAATGCAATTTTGCACCTCCTATTTTGTTTTTCATCCAAAATATGTTTGGGGTTTCTCCAAGCAAATCATAGACTTTTCTGTTGCTTTATTTGGGGGTGGGGATTATCATTTTGTGAGCTGTGTGCTCCAAGTACCTGTAGTATTTCATTGACTTCAGATAGGGTAACGACTTGGTACATTTGTATGTTGAATGTCTGTCAGCTTTGCAACAAAAAATAGGTCATAAAATTGAGAATGGAAACGGGGAATGTGTCAAAGAGACAACAACTCGACCAAAGAACAGAAAGCAGCTCAAGGCCACCAATAGGTCTTCAACACAGCGAGAAAATCCTGCACCCGGTGGCGGGCTTTATTTTTGACTTTCTTACCTCATTGATTTTCATCAGCCATCTGTCAACATTAATATCTTGATGAATATTTATGAGATCTTACAGTTAAGATTTTGCTTATACCAGTCAACTATTTTAAGGTAAAATTCACATGATTTTTTAAGACTTCAATTTTTAGGCTCTATAAGGCAATAAGTGCATCGCATTCAATGTACCAGATATGACAAAAAATGGTTTTAAATCTGTGGTCCACTCACTAAGCAATAAAGGTTAGTTGCTCTATTAATAAGTTGTCTATAAGAGCATAGACAGTTGGTACGGTTCCAGAGATCTCTGCTTTCTCTTGTCAATGCTTGTTTTAATATAGAAAGAAGTTGGTGTCCTTTGAATAGAATCTTAAAATGATCAATAACTCAGAAACCAAAAAAAAAAAAAATGTGTAATTTCAAAAGGGAGCTTGTCTTTGTAAACTAAACACGTTGTCGATGAGATCTGCTTCAAATTGTCAAGTTTTTAACTATTAAAAGTCCCTTAACTCTGGAACAATATAGCTGAAAATCATCAAAATTGAATGAGTGTCTTGTCCTCATAGAACCAAATTTAAACATTACACAAAATTTTGCAGACTTGTGAAAAAGGTTTGGAACAAAATCTTAGATTAGGGATATCTCCATAAATAAGATACCAGTATTTTCAATAAGGACTCAGAAAAATCTTTCTCAAAAATGTGTATTGGGACATTAGAAGTCTTTCACTTCATAAACTCTAGTCAACTGGACATTAAACAAACAACTATAGGTCACCATAAGGCCTTCAACAGTAGGGCAGCAGGGTACATCCCCACAACAACAAAGCAACTCTAAGTACAGATTTGAGAGTACTAACAGTCAGTTACTGACAGCTAGTTCAAAGCAATTAACAACTAATAGAAAAATCATGCATCTAAGACTAAAATATCAATCAGTACACATCCAACATCCAATGGATTTAGTGTAAAGACGTCATTAACAGTCAGAGAAAAACATAATCTTGTGCAAAGCCAAAATACAGGTATCGACAGATTGTAGAGCCATGAATGTGGATATGTATATAACAATAAAATTTAGTTTCAATATAATTTACTGATAACAAAATCAATATTTATACCAATAAAAACAATATTCAAAGATCTGATTACAGTGTTGAATTGATGGCTAGTTTAAAATTCTTACAAAAAGTGTTCAATACTTTTATCAGCCTTGTTGGTCTAATGTATGATGCTGTGGTGCTAATGCCCACCAGAATCAAAAGTTGGTATTTTCTGCTTCTTATGATCTTATCTCATCCAGCATTTAGGAGTATTAGCAAAGATTGGTTTGGTTGAGCATGGTTAAATGCTTGGGTGAGGAGACATAGTACATACATTTCTAGGGACTTCTCCTTGAAAATGAAAATGGTACTGAATGTGATGGTTTAACATTTACATTTATAAGTAACTTCTCTTTCTAAATAAAGTTTGAAAATAACCTGATGGACAGTAAGCAATATTCAATCTTTTTATATTGCTAACAAACCAAAAAGTTTAATTATCAAAAGGTCAGTATTTTAGCATTTATATAAATATCTTGCTTATTTCTGATTCTATAGTACACAAAACTTTTATTCTAAAATCAAGCTTACCAGAGAAATTGTTTTTGTTTTGTTTGCAGGACATGTTTAAAGAAGACACAATTGTAGTTATTAAAGTCCTCCACACAACATTTTCCCAACTAGGCATTCAGGAAACCCTCTGCTTACAACAACTACGAAATGTAGATCCTGATAACATCTCACATACACTCAGACTTTTGGTAAGTTTTGATATGTGTTGTTTGTGGAATCTTAACAAAATTAAAAAAAAATTGAAAAACCCTCCTGGAGTACATGAGTATATCCCTAGTTTTTGGTTGGGTACTTGTAGCTCTGTATACTGATTAAGTTTGGTGTTTTCCTTAGCAATTCATGGACTTTTCCATCAAGTTAATTTTTATGTATTTTATAGCTCATATCAAAGTTTCTGTGGATTGTTATCTTTTTATAATACATTGCATTAACTTATAAGGAAACTTACACACTTAAATTCCAAATAAAATACAAATGTCAACACTTAGAAATTTACTGCATTCTTTTTGATGTTATAAATTGGAAAATTTGCATACAAAAACAAGATACGGTGAATCAATCTGCAAAAAATTAAGTTTCTTGATTAGATTTCGCCAACATGTTGCATGCAGATAACCTTTTTTTTCCATAATTAGTTGTTGTATAACTCTCCATAAGAAAATTTTATAAAATGAAGTGTTATAGTTGGTAATTAAATGAAAAATTGATGCTAAGCATACCAAAGAAAATCTTTTAAAGTGTAGTGTTATAGTTGGCAATAAAATGAAAAATTGATGCTAAGCATACCATTGAACAATTATTTGGTATTTTTTGCCGTTTATTTACAAAGTTTAAACAGACAATAGACTTGCAGCTAGCTATAACATGCACATTTTTCTTTTATCCTGATAATCACATCCTAGAATTATTTAACATCACATGGTTCAGTTCAGTTTAGAATGATTAAAGGCTATTAAATAGATTAAGAGCAATTAACATTGCATAATGAAAAAGCTACAAAATTAAATGGTCTAATGTAACCAGCTTTCTTTTATCTTTATCGTCCTGAACATCACGGACTAAACTTAACGCTTGCCCAGTCGCCCAAGGCGACCAGATTTTCGGCTTGGCGAATATATTTTATCATCCTGTTCACCCAACTGGCGACTGTAAAATATTTTGCAGTGAATCCCATTTCTACTCTTTCCCCCGCGATATAAACAAAAACTGTTCCTAAATGGAAACCTTCCTGTCTTATCAAAGCAGGAAAATTAAAGAGAGATTTGCGAAAACCAGTAAGATCATTTTAATAACCCAAACCCGGTCGGACAAGTATGTTTTCAGTGCGAAGTCAGTATTTGACATACATGACTCTAAGCACGTGATCTTTTAAATCTTCTTAGATTATTTCACTATTGTTTAGTGTTTTCTGTTCAATCTGCATCGCTAAAGAAATGCATTCCAGTTGTCCAGGGAGTCATTTCAAGCCCGTATTAGACGATAACTTGTCCATGAATCGCTATTTACAAAATCTTCAATGAAAAAACGAAACGCAAAATCTTGTAAATAAATATCAAAATATCTAATTTGATATCCAATCTTCAAATAAAAAGTAATTGAATAATATTTTTGATCAACACTATTAGAGGATGGCTTGGATTTGAAGTAGCATTTAATGATTCATAGAAACAGCCATATTGTCAAAATGTCAACAAGTCTACAGGAAGTTGAAATTGAAGGGAAACAAGGAAATTTACTAAAATCAGTATTGTCAAATCTTATAATATATATCTGGTGGCAATAATTCAAATATCACAAAGTTATCACATGAAATCTTTACCAGACTCATTATTAGTATATGGAGAGTACATTTCAGTTTTATTTTACTTAGTATAAAAATTGGTTGGCCCCTAAAAGTTCAACTGGGCCCCTGAAAAAAATATTTTAGGGGCCCAGATGGCCCCTGGAGGAAAACAGTTAAGTTTAGTCCCTGAACATGCATGAAATATTTGCCACTGGACATTGAGCAACTAACAATCAATCAATATTTTATCTTTATTTTTTTTATTAATGGATTTAATTAATGTGAGGATAGGTAGGCTTAATTAACTACTGTCTAAATTAAGTGTCCAGTTGGAAAAAAGTGCAACACATGAAGATCACGATGTAAACAGGACTTGAGGTGATAAAACTTTACTCAGTACTCAGAGAACAAAATTTGAGCTCAAAACACCAAATCCAGTATTTTTATTGGTTAATTTTTTAGTCTTACGAGCGGGAGGCCAGAATGGAACCCATTTATCCAAGAGAGCTATTAAAATTTAAACTAAGATTTCAAAACACTGGTGGCATTAACTTGATTTTAAATATAACTAAAAGTTTGTAAGGGTAAGATATCATTACCTATTGGTTTTCTGTATGCACGTTCTGTGATGAAATATTAGATATTTTGGTTTTCTGTATGGACCTTGTGTGATAAGATATATGACATTTTGGTTTTCTGTGTGCCCCTTCTGTGATAAGGTATAGATTATGGTACACTAATGTTCATATGATCGACTAGTATAACTTATATGAAAGGTCTTCAGTACTTGTTAGATAATGTGTAGCTCAGAGCATAATAAAAAGGATAAAGGCAACTTTTAATATTCCAATGAGCAGTTAAATTTATATAGTTACGATTTTTTCTCTCTGGCGACGAAAGCTGCAGAATGTGAGACATAGGTATGCTAATCTGGCTGCCGCAGCGTAAACGTTTTGTTCTTAATCTCATTTTCATAGTTTAAAGACTGTGAATTTCTTACTTAGTTATGTGTACCGGTAATAGGTATATGGGATTCTTTCAAGGTCTACCTACGTGTCAGACATGGTTCACCTGACCTGGACCTCATTTCATGGATCAATGATTAAGGTAAAGTTTCAGGATAAGGTCTTTTTCTATGATAGTAAAATCATGAGGTGAATTATAATTTATGTATGGAATGATTGTAAGATGTACATGTCTTTCTGACACATTTCATCTGACCTTGACCTCATTTTCATGGTTCATTGGTCACCTTAAGTTTTCAAGGATAGGTCTGTTTTATCAGATATTGTATACTAGTAAGCAAGAGGTGATTTTGATGATTTTCACTTTTGTCGATCAGGAGTTATGGTCCTTGATTTTAAAAATGCTTCTATATGTTGTTATTCTACTATAATTTAGGAACCATTCAACCAATCCTTTTCAAATTTTGATATCTTTCTCATAACAAAATAAAGGTCAAGTTGATATTGATTATTTCAACTTATGCTAATTGGGAGTTGAAACCCTTGTTTGCTTTAACATAACACTAGTAAATGAAAGAAAAATCTTGTTTGCTGTTATTTTGACAGCTTCTTGTTTATTTTTTGTAAAGCAATTTGTCTGAACCTTTATACTGCAAAATGAATGATGAATACTTTATGATAACAAATTTCAAAGCAACTTTAACTTAAATGATTAATAACTTTAACTTTATGTTACAAAATCAAAATAACAAATTAAATTTAAATGAACTGTACTTTTGTCACAAAATGATTTTGTTTAATTTCATCAAAGATATTTTTGTAAATATAACTCTTTCATAGAGTATAAAACATCTCCTTTAGGGAACAATTACCACATTGCTATATTTCTGTATAAGATCAAACACTTTGAGAAACATACATATTAGGAGATAAAAGTGCAAATATTTGATGACTTTTTAGATAAAATCTTTTAATTATGGTGATGATGTAATTAATTCATATTTCGGAAAACCATGTAATTATTTTATGCTTGTGTTTTTATTGTTTATTTGCAGAATATTTTCACATTTGATGATCATTACTGCATGGTATTTGAAGCTTTATATCCAGAACCGATCAATCAGATATTTCATCAAATTTCTAGAGATAAGGTAAAAAAAATTATAATATCATGTTCAAGCTTTTATGATTCAATAATGTGAACAAAAAATGTATTTAGTATCTTCTGTATTGAAATAGAATCCATTTGGTTCATTTTTCAAATAGAAGGGGTGCAAAATAAAGGAAGAGTTGAGTCATAACGCATGTGAGGAATTTTTAATGATTAAGGGAATTTTTTTTCTCAAAATTTATATGTACAACTAAAGGCATACGATACAGTTTTAATCCCACAGTATTTTTTTGATGAAAATTTGCATACAAGCTATTTTTAACGTAGTCAATTCAAATATGTAATAAAAAATATTTATGTAACAATTCTTTGGAAATAATTTATTTTTATTTTTATAATTTTCGAAAAAAAAAACATATTTTTTGCTGTATATTTATCCAATTTAAAAAAAAATCATCAGTGATTTCTCCATAAAAATTGGTGCAGATAATCTTCATACATAATCTAGCTTAATGTCGTTTTGAAAAAGAAGGTCCATGTACTCGTTTTCAAGCTAATGATTAAAATCAGTCAGAAAATGCATCTTACACAATATTTCACAGTTTGACGTTGCGAAAAATAACATTTTACGTTTGCAACATCATAACCCCCCCTGTAACTCTATTGTATGCCTTAAAAAAAGGGGTTATTGTAAAGACAGAATTTTTTGCATGCATTAATTATTGCGATTGTTGGATAACTGACCGAAAAACAAGATTAATTATTTTGAATTCTGGAAATGCTGCACCAAACTAATACAACAAAGTATAAAGTGTGAGTTTTTATTAGGCCAAAAAAAAAATATATATGTCTGTTTACGGTTACCCGACCGACCCTACTTTAGAGCGCCGACCCTAAGTCATTTTATTTCCGTCGTAAAGTGAAAAATAAACTGAACTCGTGTCAAAAGCAAAATTAGTGTTGCAAATAATATAAATCAATGGCCTGATACATCCCAATGTTCACAATCGTGAATATGACAGCTGTATTTAAGGAAATTCGCAACTCCTGTGATGAAATAAACACTTTGCCACAATTTTTTTCCAACCAATTACCAAGGGAAATAATCCAATAATTAAAAATACGGGTAAACTCGGCCCTTGATCAACTCGGACCACGACAAGACGAAATAGTATGACTCAAAATCATGTCACAAAAAATAAAATGGAAATACCAACCTACCTACCCTATTTTTTTAAAGTATGTAACCTTAAACAGACATATATTTTTTTTGGCCTTATTGCGAAACCTATTGCAATTTTTGCAAGAATAAAAAAAAACATCTAAAAATTTTTTGGATTCACAGTAAATATTATACCACAGCCACCCCAGTGGTTTTGTGGTAGCATGTTCGCCTCGAGTGCGGGAGGTCGTCAGTTCGAACCCCGAACGGGTCAAACGGAAGACTTTAAAAAAATTGGTATTTGCTGCTTCTCCACTAAGCACACCACATTAAGGAGTAAGAGCAAAGACTGGTCTGCTCGTAGTCAGAATAATGTGTCCGGGTAAGGTGACATGTCTTCCTGCAGATTGTTACCTTGTGAACTAACACATTAAAAACCCGATTCAGCGTGTCAGTCTAGTACAAAGCAGGGTAAATATTCATATTACATTAACATGTTCTCTTCCTGAATATACATATAAGTTTACCGCTGGACTTTAAGCAGCCATCCATCATCACCAAAGGAATGTGTCTTTCTTGGTTGATATCTGTCCTTTCCATCTCATGAAACTTTCTTCACATTTTTCTCAGGACTTACAAATTAGATCTACCTGAAATTCGGTATCAAGCTTCATAAGAGCATGATCTACCCTTTGATACATTTTCAGGTTCATCACTCATCAACTGTCTGTTAACCAAATACTTATATATATATTCTTACACACAAACATAAGGGCTGTGTATGAAATTTTCATCACATCTTTCTGAAATTTGGATTATTGGTTCAAGTGAGAATGCTTCACCATGAGAGGGGTTGTCACATTCATTGCTTATTAACTTCCTGATTTCCATATATTCCTAATGGAGGTATCATTGGTGAGCAATAGTTCACAGTTCTTCTTTTTTATGCCTCACCTAGGGGCATTATGTTTTTTGGTCTGTGCATCCGTTCGTCCGTCCGTCCGTCTGTCCTTCCGTCTGTCCCGCTTCAGGTTAAAGTTTTTGGTCAAGGTAGTTTTTGATGAAGTTGAAGTCCAATCAACTTGAAACTTAGTACACATGTTCCCTATGATATGATCTTTCTAATTTTAATGCCAAATTACAGTTCTGACCCCAATTTCACGTTCCACTGAACAGAGAAAATGATAGTGCGAGTGGGGCATCCGTGTACTATGGACACATTCTTGTTTTGATAGAAAGACTTCAATCAAAATATGAAATCACTTTTGAAAATGATTGTTGGCATTATAGAGATGTCACCACTGACATCTGATCCTCACTTAATGTGGAACAACTTGTTCTTATAGGGATTAGATGAACCCTTCATGTTTATGATACCAACATTATAGATCAGAGGTCAAGGTCGCCAGATGGCACTATGAAAAAACATTGTAGTCACTGTAGAGGTCATTTGTGAACAATATAGATATGATAGAGGTCATTTTGTATATGTTATCTTCACAATTTAAAAAAATCCAAATGAGAATTAGAGGTCATTTCGTATATGTTATCTTCACAATTTAAAAAAATCAAAATGAGAATGATAAAGTTTGGAAAAAAATACAAGAAAACCCAAATAGTCCATCTGGTACATTGTATAATGTATATGTTATGTAATTTGAAATTTACTATACTGTAAAAAGTCTATTTTTGATATTGTTAGCTATTCTGGCATTTAAATGTTCGTATGATGCACTAAAATGTCATTTGTGCAGCTTAAAGAAAATTACTACTTTATTATGTAATTATCTAGAACTAATGAGTCTGGTTAGTACGGTAGGTTAAAAATATATTCTACATATTATAAATTGTACTAGACATCCATCTGTTCACAAATTGTATCATATTATCATAATGTATATGCATTTATTATACATGTAAATTTTATATTTTTGCCATTTTTATTAATGGTTATATCTTTATTTCTTCTTGTAACACTTACTGAGTAAGAGTGCATACAATAAAGAACTGATTGAACTTGACCTTGAAAAAGACTTGATACAAAGAATATGTTCCGGACCTTATGAGTATTTGGACCATACCTGCATGGTCATGACCATATGAGTATGATACTCGTTTAGGTTATTTACGGGTTGGACCATATGTGTATTTAGACCATATAGGTATTTTTCGAATAAATTTTAACTTTCTTCGCAAGAACACAAAGCTCATTCTCTGAACACAAAATCGCCTTTATCTTGTTGACTTTTTCGTCCATAAGTGGACCTTTTTTTCTTTTTTTCTTAGTGTTTAAATTATTATTTCAGAAACAAATTTCTTCTTATTTTTACTTATTTTCATTGAATTAATGTGTTCTTGCTCCTATTCATACGATCTTACTGTCATTGTAAGATCGTATGAATAGGAGCAAGAGCACATTATTTAACTTAAGTCATTTTAATAATTTAAACACCAAAATAATTAAAAAAAGAAGAAAAAAGAGGATTCAATGACCAATGTTCCTGTGATTTAAGCAATTGACTTCTTGCTAAACAGTTCATTGAGATATTTCTTGAAGTTATTTTCCAAAGTCGCCATATTGCGTTTCGTAAGGACAAATTGATAATGACCATGAAAATTTCTTTTTACTGTGATTTTTACTTGTAAGTAAAATTCACTTTATTTCATTAAATCATGAAGTCAAAATTTCATTTTTAGAAACTCTTAATCAATGGGAAACCTTTTCAACGTTCATCATGTTAATCACCCGGACCATATAAGTATATATGCATATGGTCATGACCATATGCGTATAATCCAAATACTCATATGGTCTTGAACAAATATCAATGAGGAGAGGATGAAGTCTATTTGGTACCAAGGTTAGAGTTCAAAGACCAGGGTCACCTGATCACACTATGGAAAAAGCTTAGTCACTGTAGAAACTACATGTTGCTTCCAGTTTTCATCAAGCTTGATACAATAGTATCTATGAACCCATTTTGATTTGTGACAGGCCAAAGGTCAAGAAGAGGATTCTAAACGGATGCACAGCTTTTGCAGTGCCTTTATGAAAATAAGAAGATGTGGTATGATTGCCAATGAGACAACTCTCCATCAAAGACCAAATGAGGAAAAATTCTTGTTACTTGTTTCAAACAAAGTTATAGGTTAATATTACTTTCACATGTGAACAAAAAATATGGGTAGATATCTTTGTAGTATACATGGAGCTATATTGGAAATCGAAGTTGCATGCAAATTTACACGTTTGCTAATACGGAACTACAGGTAATTTGAAGGGAGCATATTAAATTAAAAGATTACACATCTTTTACAGTTAATACCAAGCATAAGGAAGGTAACCATCAGACTGTTGACCATTCTGGGTTTTCTACAACAACAAAATATTATCCATGCTGATTTGAAACCTGATAATATTTTATTAAAAAAAAGTAAGTTACTATGTTCAAAATCTTTTAAGCTTACATCAGAAAGAAGTGGAGAGGGTGTCCATAGGCTTAGCCTGTTGCCAAATCCAATTCAATTTATTTAATAAAATACTGTTTAAAGTAGAGAAGTGAGAAACTACTTGCTGTTTCAAAATCAATAAAAAATTTGGTAATATTTACAAAAGGTTACACCAAAATTTTGTGGCTAACATAGTCCTTAATATGAATTTCTAACCAATGGTATAACATTTTCATTTTGTTGTACAAACATTGAATTAACCAACATTTTAGATTCTGAAACAGCAAATTTGATAATGCTGCTGATGATTTAACAAAGCCAAGGGTATCAACAAATAATACAGTGCAGGTGGATTCTGTCATTTCAAACATCTTTCATGCATGGGAAGCGGATATCATTTGGCAAAAACTTCTCAACGAATCACACACAACTAAAATATTGATTGATTGATTGTTGCTTGTTTAATGTCCAGTAGCAATTATTATACCCCACGCAACGAAGTTGCGAAGGGTATAATGTTTTTGACCTGTCCATCTGTCCGTCTGTCCGTCAGTCCGTCAGTCCGTCAGTCCTGTTCTTGTCATCGCAACTCCTCTGAAACCTCACAACAGAATTTCATGAAACTTTGTAGATAATAAGGACATACTATGTAGATGTGCATATCGACAGGAAATTATGATTTGATTTTTTTTCTAGGAGTTATGCCCCTTTGAACTTATTGGCCTCAATATACTACTGTAACAGTTTGTCATTGCAACTTCTCTGAAACCACACAACAGAATTTCATGAAACTTTGTAGATAATAAGGACATACTATGTAGATGTGCATATCGACAGGAAATTATGATTCAATTTTTTTTCTAGGAGTTAAGCCCCTTTGAACTTATTGGCCTCAATATACTACTGCAACAATTTGTCATCGCAACTCCTCTGAAACCACACAACAGAATTTCATGAAACTTTGTAGTTAATGAGGACATAATATGTAAATGTGCATATCCACAAGAAAATTTTTATCAGTTGACTTTTGTAGAGTTATGAGTCTTTGAACTTACGAATCTGGTGAGAGTTTGTTTGTCCAGTGACAATGTGAGGGCTTTGGGTATGAGAGCGTGCTCACAAAGGTTCTTTAATTTCATGCATATTCTGTATGATAATGTAGCTAAAGTAAATCAGGCATAGCAAAAATTGTTCATAACTACAATGAAATCGGGCATAGCACACAGGAATCGTAAATAACTAGTTTAATAATCAGGCATAGCAAAAAACAAATCCTAAATAACATAATTACTGTTATTGATGCATAGCAAAAAAAATGATACATGTACATTACTACAATTAATGAGGCATAGCAAAAAAAATTATGCATTCATGAATATTAATGGAAATTGCTGAAAGTCATTATTAAGTATAATTCGAGGTTCCCGGTGATAGTTCTGATTTCTTATGTTCGAAGGAGCCAAATGTCATTGGTTCTCTCTGGGCACTTTAGCTTCCTCAACAAATGAAAACTGACAGCCGTGATATTGCCAATAGTGCTGTAAGTTGAGTTAAACACAATCAATAAATCAATCAATCAATCAATAATTTTTCAAGGTTTTTGTGGAGCCTGCGACTTCTGTCCCAGTAAGCAAGACATAGGGATAGTGATCTGGCGACAGCTTAAATAATTCAGAAGGTAGAATACCTGGATGCTTCATACTTTGTATATAGATGCCTTATGTTATGAAGTTTCTGTCTGTCATATGTCCATTGTCTTTGACCTCATTTTCATGGTTCAGTGAATACTTGAAAAAAAAGTTTAGATTTTTTGTAATGTTAATTTCTCTCTTGATATGAGTAATAGGATAAATATATTTGGTATGTGCCTACCTTGCAAGGTCCTCATGCCTGTCAGAAAGTTTTCACTTGACCTCAACCTCTTTTTATGGATTAGTGAACAAGGTTAAGTTTTCATGGTCAAGTTCATATCTCAGATACTATCAGATAGGCAGGGCTCGACAATAACGCTTGTCCTATTGTCCGGTACCAGAGGAAAAAAAGGTCGGACAAGTAAAAGCCATATCAAGCTTGTCCGATGGGACAAGTTAAATCTTATCCAACTAACAAGACAGTTCAACATGGCACGAAAACGAATCAGCCCCATGTTTGATAGACCGTTCGGCACCGTAGGAGACATTTCAGGACCAAGACAAACCAGTACCTTGTTTCCCTACCTTATTCTGTTGCTTGATAATAAATATGATAAATTTTATTTAACAAAAATATCTAAAAAAATAATGAAATTATTGACCATAAAATTCATAAAATCATATTCGATCATATGTAGACCAAACAATTTTTGATTGCATTTGAATAGAAATTTTAATATATTAAAAACAATGCAGATTGTAGTAAGACATTAATCATAATAATCAATATTTTATCAACATAAAAGACCAGGATACAAATCAAATGAGTGTAGACTGACAGGCCTACCAGACTGTGCCTCATGTGCAGAGTCTGATGAGACTTTGGCATTAATGAAAACTATAACTTAAGTCGATAAGTCCTGTGACATGACTAGATTCAATTGTTCTCGACTCATATTTCTAAAAGGATATTAAATTCTTTTCTATTGTTTTAATTCATTTTGTTCATTGAATCAACTTAAAATCCAAAAAAGTTAATATTTAGATTTTTTTTGGACAAGTTACAATTCCATTCGGACAAGTAAGTTTTGGTATGTACTTGTCCTATTGGGCAAGTTGAAAAAAAAATTATGGTAGAGGCCTGATAGGTCTACTATATTTGGTGTATGGAATGATTGTAAGGTGTACATGTACAACTGGCAGGTGTCATCTGACCTTGACCTCATTTTCATGGTTCAATGGTTAAAGTTGAGTTTTTGTGTTTTGGTCTGTTTTTCTTATACTGTATGCAATAGGTCAACTATATTTGGTGTATGGAAATATTTTACGATGTACATGTCAGTCTGGCAGGTTTTATTTGACCTTGACCTCATTTTCACAGTTCATTGCTCAAAGTTAATTTTTTTTTTTTTTGTCTTATTTTCTTAAACTATAAGCAGTAGGTCAACTATATTTGGTGTATGGAATGATTGTAAGGTTTATATGTCTGTCTGGCAGGTATCATCTGACCTTGACCTCATTGTCTTGGTTCATTGCTCCTTAACCAGTTATCCTGGTTAGATACTATATGCAATCGGTCAACTATATTTGATGCATGGAATTAGTGTAAGGTTTACATATCTGTCTGGCGTGTTTGATCTGACCTTGACCCCATTTTCATGGTTCCTTGGTCAATATAAAGTTTTCATGGTTTGGTCTGTTTCTTGTTTACTATAAGCAATAGGTCAGCTATATTCCGTATATTGAATAAAAGTGTACATGTACTTCTGGCTTGTTTTATTTGACTTTGATCTCATTTTCTTGGATCATGTTAAGTTTATGTGATACTCATAGTAAAACATTATATGTAGGACTATCAACATAAAATCAAAGGTCAGTAAAGCAGGCAAGAAAGACATTTCAGCTTGTGCACTCTTGTGATATAATTTATAGTAAAGGTCCATTTTGAATATTTACATCCCAGCATTTTCCAATTATCAAGTATTGTCCATTGGAATTGAAGATGCTTTCTATTTTTTACAATCACATTCAAGGACTTTACTAATAACATCAAGGTTGTGTTTTGTTGTTTTGTCCCTTTGAAAAAGTCTAATTATAACTTCTTGAGGAAAAAATATTTCCTGATGTGTTATTGTTTCAGAGAGTAAGCGACTAGATGACACACATTCTAAAAATATGAGTTTCTGCTTTGTTCGTGTATATTAAATTGACCATTTAAATGTTTTATATTGTATTAAATTGCAATGTCATTGCTTAAAAAAGGGTAGACAGAAAAGATCTGCATTGAATTGACCATTTGTAGTTTTTCAATTGTTTAAAAGCAGATTATTACACACACAAAAATCAACAATCAATTGCTTATATTAAATTAATTTTTATTGTAAAAAATTGCTTTGTCATTTAATAGTTGTAAAGCTGAGTTTTAAATGAAAAATCAGAAAGATTTATAAATAATTTGTTAGAAGTCTATTTGACTTTCTGATTGCAATGAAAGGGTTATAGTGTATATCTTGGTTTGAAAAAAAAAGAGGAAAAAACATGATCCTGTAATTAAAAATCTGTAGCTTAATTGCAATAAGGGCTTGTTAAAATTTCACAATATTCTATGATTCATATTGTTAAAGTACTTGGAACATTGTCATTAGTACCTCTTGTTTTTTTGTTCCACTTGATTAATTAATTTAATATTTTAGCTGTGTCTTAATAATATTTTAAATGGAGAGAAATTATGGGTTGATTAGGGTAGTCCCCCATTATTTCATAAAACATTTAAATCTATTAAAGCAATAAATATGATAATAAGACTGATATTGTTATTCATAATAAAGATTTTAAATTTTCTCTTTTAAAGCTTCTGGGGGTCAAGATTTGTTAATTACTTTTATTGCCAGACCGCACTTTAAAGATTGGTATTGTTGACACTTTTAATACCAAAGGGATCAAATTTTCTGAACAGATTGTCAGTCATACGATTGTTTACTGGTACTATATTGAAGAATATGATTCAATTTACAATTTAAATCGACATATTTGTTTTAAAAACCAAATCTTTAAATATATTTAATTGTGCAGTCATAAGTTATCCAGTTTTGCATTTGGAACATTGTTTACAAACTTGAAAAATATTTTTTTTTACAATATTTGAGATTCAATTTACAATTTGAATGTCCACAATTAGGAAATTTTTTTTTATTGAGCATGCATAATATCCAGAGTTTTTTCTACTTGAAAGTAGACTTAAGTTTCTGCATCAGATTTGCATCTAAAAGAACATGCTGAAAGATTATATATAATCTTGAAACTGATCTCATATTCATATACAAAGAAGTGGGGGGAAAATCTGAATTTTAAAT